CTGTGTCAAGCAGCGGCATAATGCCGGCGAAACACGTGTCTGGGCCTTTTAGATAGTACCTAGGCTTTTAATTTGGTAAGCTATAACATCAATTTATAGTTCTTCTGTGCAACACCTTGCTACCTCGAGTGGTATGGACGTGAACAGAGACGATTTCGGCTGAAATTATGATTCCTTGTAATTTCTTTAGGAATTCTATGGAGTTCTGGATGGAAGTTTCACAGTTTCTTGTAAGCGGGCGGAGGTATTGGAATAACCATCTAGAAATTTTGTAGTTGGGCGCTCCGATCAATGATACTATCGTTCGCAGAGGAATAACAGGTTTATAAAACTTTCGGTAGCCCATAAATCTTAGCGATTGCTAGTTCATTTTGTTTCAAGGATTTCACAAGATCTCCTGATAGTTGTTTCAACCAATTAAGACCATTCAACACTTTTTCGATGGATGAACTTTGAGTCTTTGTAGGGTCTGTGGGAAAAGGTTTGTAGGCAGAGGCATCTTCTAACAGCGACAGCATCTTTTGATTGTAATCTGCTTTGTTCAAGGTAGCAGTTGGACGTTCTTTGTCTGCAGGGACGACAACGATGGTCTTGTCGGATCTGAGGGCCTTCAAAGCCTACCTTTCTTTGTGAGATAGTGTCGAAAACTGATTTTGGTTTTTAAGGGCCTGCACGAAATTGTTTCGAATTGTAAAATGTTCATTCTCCGTAAGCTTTGCTACTGAGATTATGATCTCCAAGTTTGAAAGGAAGTCCAAATGATTGGAGTCAGAGAAATTGTACTTCATTCCTCTTGAAAGCACATTCTCTTCTGCTCTTATAAGGAACCTCGACGACAGATTTACGATCCTTGTTGGGGCATTTTGTTTCTTCTCAGAGTTCTGGGAAATAGTCGTCCACATTTTGCCTAATATTGTCCTCTTCTTTTGTCATTCGTGTTCTAAGGCGTTGGCGATCCTGACGGTAAGAGATTTAAATAATTTCAAGTGCAGTTGGGCTCGAAATAAATGCATGTGTTGCTCCTTGGAGGATTGAAATTTTCGAAGACGGGAAGGAGCAAAGGCACCAAGCATGCTTCGGCCAAATCGAGCTGGAATTTTATACCCAAGTGCAGATTTCACGGCAGGTTTCACGCGCACAGATTTTGGTAAAGTCTTCCTCTTTCGGCGTATGCGTAGAAATACTAACTGTTCTCGTGTTTGTCTTTCGCGAATGGCACACTTTTCCCACCGTCTAGCTTGGAGCAAGACGTTGCAGTCAAAATGCATACGCATGTGTTGAAAGGTAGGCATCCCAAGGAATATAATTTGAGGTCGAAGGCGTTCTTTGGGAAAAAGAGTTTAGTGCGTGAATTTTCGAGACTGGAGCCCCGCTCGTCTTCGGACGCAGAGTAAAGTAAAAGTGCCAAAAACCAGCTAGCATCGAGAGTGTATGGGAAAGAAAGAAGTTACCTACTAGATCCCGTGTGGAAAATGTGATGCCGTTTATTGCGGTTAGACGGGAAACTCCGCCTCTTTGCCCATCCACGAACATCAATTGGTAGTAAAAAGACGAGACCTCTTGTCTCAGGTCGCCATGCACACCCTGGATACCGGGCACACCTTCGCGTGGGACAAAACCCGTATTGTCGGTGTCTGCCCTTTCCAGAAAGGTCGAGAATTTTTCGAGGCAATGCACTAGGGCGAGTCATGCGTCAACAGACACATAGAGGTCGATGGTGCGTACAAAATTCTCGAGGAGAAACGGGTGCGACGCGAGCCAATG